TGAGACACTGAAACGATGAGAAAAAAGAAATGTGGTTGATGAACTGGCCGGCTGAATGCTAATGCTGTCGGGACGTCGCTACCTTACTTTGCTCACAGTCTGCACCCGTAAGGTAGGTAGTCCGCTCTCGGATCAGGAAGCAGCAGGGAGTGGACTGCCTTACCCTTGGCAAGTCCGAATTGAAGGACCTCGGGATGTGAATGTCTTTACGGAGTACAGAGTACGTATTAGTAGGTATAGAGCATCAGGATTTCGAAGTAGACATCGAAGTAGTCAGTCTGTCCTCCGCCAGTGAGCAGGGCACTTGCCTGAGATGCAGTTAAGGGATCTTATCTGGGGGAGATGGCGACAGCACCAATGTACCAAGGATATCCTCGAGACGTTGACGGGCACCTGCTTACGATAGCGGGCTTTTTTTATGATACCTCAACCTACTTAACCATGACAGGCAGGAGGTATATTCTGTGGTACTACGTGGGAGGGACATGGATTGTCGACGATTCCTTCCTGGGCTGGATAGACCTGAAGGTCGACCATGTCACGAATGGAAACTTGAGCGAGATTGTAGGCAAGACCGGCCGCGTTGGGAACCTCAGGCAAAGAATCTCATCACATCTGGGGCCGGGGAAGAAGGAGGTGGATTTGCGTGCTTGCCGAAGACTCAAGGATTTTCGGGTCTCTTAAGTTGCCCTTCCTTCCTCAGAAATCTATGTAGCAAGAAGTAAAGGGAAAGTATGCAGTAAGTATGGAACACGAGGATGCCGGTTTAAACTCGATATCAGTACCGTACCTTTTCCCTACCTACATCTTACCTGACGCATGTAAAGTGCGACCACAAACAATGTCTTACGTAATTAACTACAATTCTAATGCATCTTACAGTCCGATCACGATAACAACATGTCGAACAAATAACTGGAAATGGCCGCCGTCGCATGTTACGCAACTGAGCAAATTGGAAGGTTATGAATGATGATAGTCGTCTATCAGCGAAAGAGATTCGGCCCGCAACTGCCTTCCTAGATAAGGTGTTGGAAGGGAAGGTGAGGTACGGACATTATATCCGTGAAGTCGGCTTTCTTTCCCACAAACCGTTCATGGTTCTTCCTGCCGTGGTGTCCACCACTTGTTGCTCCAAAGGACCAATTTGGAAGTTGCAGCACCCACCTACCAGCCACCACCTTGCCGCGATTGTGACGGGGACTTCTGCCCATGTTGATTTTCTATACCCTAGTCATCATCCACTCTTGCTCCGCAAAGGGAAAGCAGGGCAAGGCACATAGGGTTCGCAGCGGGGCCGGCGCGGAGAAGGCACTGGACAGGTTCACTACTACGTAAGTCAAATCGGCAGGGCAGGCATGGGAGGGCGGAAAACAAGCAAGCAAGCAAGCAATTGAGCAAGCAGCACGCACGTCGCACGCCGCACGCCGCACACGAGAGACAGATGAGCAAAGCGGGTTTCCTGCGAGATGTGGAAACGCAAGGCAAGGCAAAGCAAAGCAAGGCAAGGCAAGGCAAGGCAAGGCAAGACAAGACAAGACAAGACGCGACAGAATCCGCTGACCCAGACCTGATCAGACCAACCAGCCAGCCAGCCTGATTCTCTCCCCAGTCAGCAGGCCGGCGACAACGATGACAGACCTGTGGAGAGTCAGCATCAGCATCCCTACGGATACTCCGTATGAATACGTACATGGAGAGAGACGACAACAACAAGGTCAGCCAAGATAGCGTTACAAGATCTGCCTTTTGACATGCGCATGGCCCTCTGCCGCACAGTGCAGCAACGTCTGTGCTTTCGAGCACCATTGTCGGGAACCCCCCAGCCAGCCCAGCGCACTAAGATCAGAGATGCATCAAGCGGCAAGCCAATCCTTAACCCTTGGTCTAAACAGACGAGGGAGCACGGGAGGACCAACTGCGGTATGGTCAGATACCCCCAAATCGGCCCAGTGTCGTTTTTATATCCTCTTACCGAGTGCTAGTAGTGTAGGCTCGGCAATCGACAGCGAACGCCCCCCTTCTATGTCTCCTGGTTCGCTGCGCGCTGCGCTAAACCGACGGCGTTGTGCTTGGAGTCCATCAGAAGCGTCGAGAAGACGACGATGCGCTATTGGCTTGCTTCTTCTTCTTCTTCCTTCGCCGCTCGCTCTCGTCTTTTTTTATCCCTTGCCTCGGGTCCTAGCCTTGCAACGGTGCTTCTACCGGTAGTGAGGCCATTGTTGTCAACCATTTGCTATTGAGGCTCTTGTCTTGTTGACCTTTGATACCGGGACTTTGAGCAATAGCCGCTTGCTACACTGCCTCACCTAACCTCACCTAACCATGAAGAAACTGCGCCGCTCTGAGATGATGATGGCCTTGGCCGCCGCCAATGGCACATGGACCGTACCTTGGTGTCGGGTACGATTAACTTTTCCTTCGAAGCAATGGACACCCGAACCCTACATGCGCCGACCGGATGACATGACACTTTTGTTGGAACGGCAGTACCTTGCGACGGAACTCAAGTCCGGGACAAAACAGGCCCTGGAGATGCCGTGCTTCATTGGCAGCTGCGGCGGAAACATCCAACATCCAAACGCACAGTCCACTGTCTGCCCGACGGCCTTCGAGGTTCGGTCGAACAACAAAGGTCACAACAATGACACGGCCAATGGGTCAAGGAGAGCACAAGAGGCAACGCCAAGTCCGAGGCCCAAGGGTAGGCAGATAGAATGGATGGATCGAGGAGCACGGCCGGGACACTGTGCCAACCAGCGTTAAGCCCGCCTTATTACAATGTTATCAACCGCGGTTGCCGCTGCGGCCACCATCTCCATCTGCTGAACCGCTCGGGTCGCCTTACTAATTTGCCGGACTTTACTGCAGCCTCTATCATCTTGGTTTGACCGTCTGGTCCGAGTGATGTGAGTTATACCCGGTCTTGTTCGTTGTTGAGGAAATGGATGACACCAAAGCCTAGGTCTGGGCTTGAAGTCTAGCACACTCTACTCTCTATGTCTCGAACAAGACGACACTGACGAGTTGCGGGGCTCTAGCGGCGGTGCGCTGAGTGACTGGCAATGGACATTGGTCACAGCGTCGCTGGAGACTTGGAACCGACGACCTCCGTCCACATGCCCGGGGCTGTGTCGGGGTTGAAGAACGATTCGAAAACAGCCAGCATTGCCACGGAGAGAAATTAACTACGGAGTACAGGATACGCATCAATGAGACAAGTTGACCAGCGGGCAGAAGCGATCAGTGCTTTTGGATCTTCAGATCGGTCCCCTGGAAACTGAAAAGACCTTGAACTTGGGTTTCCAACCAAAAGCTGACAGTTTCTTGATTTGCCATGCTCTGTGTGTTTGTGCAGAGAGAGAAACTCGAGACGCCACTCTTCAAATCACAAAAGGACGAGAAAGAAAAGACGAAACAACACGAGTATCGGCGCAATGGCGACGGCCCAGAGACATGAGAATCGCCATTCGTCTCTGGCCGACGTCACTTGGACTTGGAAAGAGCATTTGATATGCACTCTTTGGACTATGGCACATAGATTCAAGGGCTCCAGATCGGGCCCACTCCACTTCTTCCCATCTCTGTCGAGGCTCGTCTCTCATCTCCCAAGTCCCCGCACAAGGGCAGGCTCAGTCGACGTCCCGTCGGGATAGTGATACTGGATTCAAGCGAGATACAGATTGTGTCTGGTTTCGTTTCGATGCTTGTGCAAGTTACACACCGTTCTTCCAGTGCTGCTTGCTTTCAGTTCGCCGGGGGATAAGTTGTTCTGGTCTCATGGATCCGTAGCGTGGGAACAGTAGGGTCGGTCGAGGTTGTTTGGCACAGAGCAGCCAACGTCGACGCCCACATTCTGCTCGGTCGCGGTTGCGGTCGGGCGAGGTACGATGTTCGCACAGGTATTGGTACCTCGTCTCGTGAGAGTCCTTGGGCTTGGAATAGGCCCTAGGCCTGGCGGGCTTCCTTGCCAATGCAAAGCCCTGGCATTATCTACAGTGGCCTGCTTGATTGCGTTGAACTGCGTTTACCTGCGTAGTCTGGACATTGTCTAGATGGGAATCCATCATTGCCCGTACGCCTGCTCCTTCACGTTGTCCGTCCGCCTCAGAGTGTCTAGGCCCGGTGTGTTGAGTATTCCTTCTGAAAGGCCGACAGACCGACCGCGACAGACTGGGGCTTGAACTCAGGCCATGGGCCACCCTGGTCAAGGACAACAGACCCCTCTCTTCCTGGTGTCACCCTACTCTGACCACGCCCCTCGAGCGGCGACACTAGGCCCCGGGAAACGACAACGAAGCCCACGTTCAACGAGGCCCTCGACGCCATTACTCCCGTGGCACGCCCCCCCTTCCCGATTCTTGTCGCTGTCCTTCCCTACACCCACCGAACGGCGACGGTTAGCTTAGCCTGGCCGTACCACCCTTCCAGGGCTCGGGTAGCTGGCTGAGAATACCTACTCTCTGCGCCCCAGCCCGACCCAATGGTCAAGGCCGAAGAAGAGACGAAAAAGAGAGGTGAGTGCCGGCGGTAGAGTCGCTTACCGACGCGGCCACGGATCAACCTGACAGAGCGAGTCAGAGTGAGAGAGAGATGGAGCTTGGGGCTTGGAGCCGGTACTTGGAGGGAGGAACAGGTGTCGAGGTGCGGACGCAGAAGCAGAGTAAAAAGGCCCGCTGCCAGCTAAGGCAAGGTACGGAAAGGCAATGTGAGGTGAGGTGATGGATGTGCTGTTGAGGTTCGCATTCCCACATGGATAGAGAGGAACGCAAGACAGGGCAAAACGCAGTAAGCGTACCGGCACCGCACGCTGTATCCGTACCCCGTACGGCTTGTTGGCAGAGAAAGAGAGAGAGAGAGAGAGAGACTGAGCGGAGTCTTTAGGCACTTGTGAACACAAGGTACTCCGTACGAGTCAATATCCCCACTTTTCCCTAAGGCTTCTTCTCGTTCGCTCCATCCAGAAGCTGAGGATAAGTCGACAGACTGGGGGAACATTGTCAGTTCCGTCCCGTCCACATACGAGAAACAGAGCCCACACCTGGGACTTGGAGTCGGGAAAAAGAAAAGATAAACAGCAAGAAAGATACGGTACCAATGACAGGCCGTATGAGCGACCAGAGGAAGGACCAGGACCATGCTGCGTACACGAGACCCCGAAGGAGTCGTAGGTACCGACTACATTGCATCCTGAAGTGCACGTCCCATGCCATTAACAGTACTTCGTAGACAGGCGTTGCGAAATAGACATTGAGGCAAAAGAAAAATAAACGTAAAGGGAGAAAGCAGTTGAAGGAGCTGACGATGGTTGGGTACCGAGACAAGGAACATGGACAGCGCAGTACGTCCGTACCTTACCTTGGTTCCAGAGACGGATCGAGGTTAAGCTCCCAGCTCCATGAAATTGAATGCGAATACCGGTACACTCAAGGTAGGCAAGGGAAGAAGGCTCCTTGGGTAGTAGGGTCCATGATTCTGCTGTCTGTTCGCTCCTCTGGACTTTGGAGCGCGTGTGCGTTGGCTGTTGGCTGTATGTGCCTCCATGTGTGCCGCGGATGCGTGTGTGTCAGTGTCCAGAGTGTGTGTGTGTGTGTGTGTGTGGCTTCGTCGTCGACGACCGAAGTACCGGGATACTTTGCGCACCTCAACTTTCGCTCATCTGTCCGCCGATATTTTACCTTACCGGGTGGGAAGAAAAAAGCTGGATACGTATCTTTTCCGCCAGTCGTCGCTCTAACTCGGTTTTTTTTCTTCTCTTCCTTCTCGCACCCCCCACCTCACCCCCCTTCTCCGCTCTTCATCCTCCTCCCCTCCTTCTCCTCTTCTCCTCCCATCTAGCATCCCATTCAATCCCTTCCCCCCCATCCATCCCACTTGGTAGAGACCCCCCGGTCTCCGTACCACGGTACTTTCGGCCTTATCCTCGCCCTCCAGCTTGCTCGTCCTTCACCCTCCCCCAAAGACCCCCTCATCTGCGACCCCCGGTCGGCCGGACTGTCCACTTAGCAGCAGCACTGAACGGCCAAACCCACCAGTCTCTGAGCTCCTCCGGGGAGGGGGGGCAGGCCCTTGGCCTGTGCCATTTTCTCAACCCAAGCCCACCTACCTTGTCGAACGCCGCTACCAGAGTCCGTATCTTTTGCCCGTGAGATACCTCAGTCCTCGCCGCTATACTTGCCCTCCCAGCACAGCGTCGCGCTACCTGGCTCCGTACGCAAGTATGGTACGGAGTACGGTACGGGCCAGACAGTTCACAGTAGACAGACAGATAGACAAATGGGCCAAAGAAAGCAAGCGAGCGGGCAAAAGAGAGCGCGCGAGAGAGAGACAGAGACAGAGAGAACCCTACCGCTCTTCTAGTAGACACACAGTACCTACCTGCGAAATATCGCCTAACAGTACCTGGTCCTTCTGCCTCTCCGCCTCTCTGCACCTCTCGCTCTGAGTCTCTGGGTCCTGGAGTCTGCGCTCACTCTGCTTCGACCTCTCGGTGCCCCATGGACCCTGCCCCATGCTCTTGAGCTCTGCCATGTCCGTACCGCTACCGCCGTACCACACCAGCATTGACCAAAGTGCGGATACCGCAGTACCCCAGTAAGGTACCTTTACCCTCAACCCCCAATCCTCAACCCGCACCTGCACCTTGCACTTGCGCCGGCCGGGGTGGGCGTGGACATGGGCCAGAGGGCGTGTGTGGTGTGGATTGTGGATGGATGGACTTCGACCTGCCTCCTCTTCTTTTCTCACCACCAAAAACAAAACCTTCCCACGCCCGTCTTCTTTCTTTTCTTTCTACCTCTCACGACTCCACCAACCACCTCCAATATTCCACTCAGGATAGCCAAAGAGGCGAGGACGGTAAGTCAGAACTTCTTCTACACTTCCACTGCCTCTTCTACCCTCTTCTTCCACCTCCTCACCTCACCTCAACCCGCCTAACCTCCAACTACCCTTCTCATTCCTCTGCTGCACCTCCTACTGCACACCCGCCCCCAGTCCTATATACGCCAAACTCGTAGCTAATGTACCTGCATTAGAAGAGTTGGGCGAGCTCGACGAAGAAAAAAAAAGAGAAGCAAATATCAAGGAAGACCAAGACGATTCACCTGCTCTCCTCGAGTGTTTGTGTGCTGTGTCTGGTACCTGCCTGAATAGAGACCTCCATACAAACGGCCCTCCACCGCTTGTTACTCAGCCCCGATTTCAGAAGAAAAAGGGCATTCCCTCGCTTCGCATCGTCACCGTCCTCGGCTCCATTCGTGCAACCCGCATTGCAATTTCGAGAGACTCACCCCAAGTCTCCTCTGCTGCCACATCGACAAACGTCTTCTCCATCAGTCAGCCTGCAACCTAAGGCTTACGACCGCCAATTCGACAAGACACCCCAGCTACCAAATCGCCGCCTCCGCCATCTCCATCAAACCTCAGATGCTACGAAGATAGAATCTCCTGATTTTTAACGACTGCTTACGACGACCACGACCGTCCTGATCTGTTTCTTTTTTTCAAAAGAACCATTGTGTTGTACGGATTATTCCGTCCATACTTTGTAGCACCGTCACCGCTGGAAGCAACTGCAGTCTTTGCGCCGCCGAGCCACGTCCGCTGCTTCCAATTGCCCTTGCTCCAAGCTTCTTCGGATATCTAGTCCGGCACCACGACAAGACTCCTCGAAAGAGAATTGCCTTCTCTTTCCGCACGTCTGACATCCTGCTGCTGTCGTAGTTTCGAGGCTCGCTAGGCGAACCCGGACTTTACTGACCTCTGGTGTTTGGTAGAACCTTCGGGGCAACAACCGTGAAACTGGATTTACCGTCGATTTCTTCAGTGCAAACCCGGGGACCGACCGACGTGTCGTATTACAACGCTCACCCGGCTCAGAGGCCGTCGTACATGAACAGCGAGAGAGTGCCGTCTCTTCCATTGCCCAACCTACATCAGGCGTACTCATCGGGTACCTCGTCACCCCGGGTCAGCTCAATCGGCTCCGCTTCAAGCTCTCACGCAGGCTCGCAGTCGTCCTTCACGTCGGCCGCATCCTCCCACGGACCCAAGACACCTTCTCCCACTCTGCCCATCAACGCGGCGATCCCTGGATCTTCCGGTCAGCCAATTGGTGGTTACGAGCATTACCCCGCCATGAATCAACCTGCAGCAGACATGTACTATCAGCAACATATTTCTGCCGGCCAAGCGCCACCGCCCCAGACCGTGACGTCCGGCGCAATGTCTTACCACTCCCAGCCACCGCCGTTACAGCCAAGCCATCTGCCTCAATATCAGCAGCAGACTCAATACGGCCAGCCGTACGGTTATGCCAATGGCTTGACTTCGCCTCAAAGCGCTCCCGTGAACAACGGAATGGGTGGACAGAACGTGCTGCCTCTCCCAGGTGTCAACCCTGGAGGTTTCCAGGGTTTCGACACCACTGGTCAAGTCGCCCCTCCCGGTATGAAACCCAGAGTCACGGCCACTTTGTGGGAGGATGAAGGCAGCCTGTGCTTCCAGGTTGAGGCACGAGGCATCTGTGTTGCGCGTCGCGAGGGTAAGTTCGATTGGCATATCCAATGGTCGCCGAAGCATGCTAACATGCACACTAGATAATCACATGATCAATGGCACCAAGCTATTGAACGTCGCGGGTATGACCCGCGGTCGCCGCGATGGAATTCTCAAGAGCGAGAAAGTGAGACACGTCGTAAAGATTGGCCCTATGCACCTTAAGGGTGTCTGGTGAGTTTCATGTGCCCCAAGACAAATCCGGCTGGGCTAGGTCTAACGTGAAGAAAAATAACAGGATCCCTTTTGAGAGAGCTTTGGACTTTGCAAACAAGGAGAAGATCACCGAACTGCTCTATCCCCTCTTCGTCCACAACATTGGCGCTCTGCTCTACCACCCCACGAACCAGACTCGCACCAACCAAGTCATGGCTGCTGCTGAACGCCGCAAGGCAGAACAGAGCCAGATGCGCGGTGCCCCTCAGAATGGCGCCCCTGGGCTGCCGTCTATTCAACAGCACCATCATCACTCTATGGGACTGCCTGGACCTCAGCAACCACTGCCGTCCCATGCTAACATGGGCCGTCCCACTCTCGACCGCGCCCACACGTTTCCTACTCCCCCGACTAGCGCTTCTAGCGTAATGGGTGGCAGCATGGGCGCCTCAGACAACGGATTCCAGTGGGCTCAATCTCAAGGAATGACCAACGCGCAGCCCCAGAACCCCATGTCTATTGACACTGGCCTCAGCAATGCCCGTTCCATGCCGGCAACTCCTGCCTCCACACCGCCTGGCTCCACCATTCAGAACATGCAGCCCTATCAGACCGGCACACAGCAATACGACAGCTCGAGGGCCATGTACAACCAGTCTTCTCAGCAGTCCCCTTACCAAACCAGCCAGGGCTCGCAAGATCGCTCCGTATACGGCCAGAACGACCCATACGCTAAGAGCGATATGGGTCCTCCGTCAGCACGGCCCGCTGCAACGAGCGCCACCCAGGATCAGAAGCCCTCAAACGGCATCATGCATCCTGATTCCAATGCTCCTCAGCCTGCGGGCGAGGAAGAGGCAGACCACGAGCACGACGCCGAGTACACCCACGACAGCGGCGCCTACGATGCCAATCGCGGATCGTACAACTACTCGGCTCCTCCCGTTGGATCCCTTGCCACCGAACACCACCTCTCTCCTGAGATGACGGGTTCGCCCAACCACCCTCCTGCATCAGGCCGTGCTACTCCCCGTACCGCCACTGCACCTCAGCCCTACTACTCCCAGCAGGCCGGCTACAGCACGCCTCCGCGTGTCGCTCAGCAATCTTCAAGCAACCTCTTTAATGTAATCACCGACCGCAATTCTGCAGCTGCTGGCGGTAACAATGTTTACCAGACCCAGTCCGACATGAACTCCATGCCCAACGGGTACCCCTCACAGATGAACGGTGCCTCGAGTGGCATCAAGCGTGGTCGTGATGATGACGACGACCTGCAGCGTCCGCTGAGCGGTGGCAGCATGGACATGAAGCGCAGAAAGACGCTCATGAACTCGGCTGTTCCCACGTATGACACCATGGCTCGCGCTCCCCCCGTTATGGCTCAACAGCAGCAAGGAAGATAGTGGCGGCGACATTTGTGGGCCGGCCATACTCTATCAGCCCTGAACCTCAGTCACTTCATTGGTGGGCGTTGTGGCGACATTTGGTTTGAGGCATAATGATAAACTGATTATGATCCTGAAGCCTCGAGTGCGAGGCCTCTTGACATTCTTTGCACACCAATTTTCTTATTTGTCTTTTTATTCGCGAGACGACTTTTCGGCATCGAGAACCCATTGGAGACGACGCTGACGAGCTGACGACTTCTCATTCCCTGTTTTTTAAATGCCCATCACGGCTGTAGATGCTGATGAATGACGCCTTGCATGGGGGAGGACGTAATCCTAAAGACTCGACCATTCTCCTTTTTTCCGGATCTTCGGGACAACATACACGAAAGAGCACGGTGGGGTTGGAAACTACGGCCTGTTGGCCCGTTATGACACTCGGGCAATGCGGCATGCGAACACCACATCGGAGGACGGACCATCAACATCACCGACATCTTTTCCTTTGCTTTGGTTTCGAATACAGTGGAGGATCATCTGGCGCTGAAATGTGTCAGAGATGGGGGATTAGGATGATGACCTTATGACGATTGTTCCTTTCACAAAAGTGTGAGACGTGTGTTGGAAACTGTCTCTTTAGGTAATGACTTGACGAATGGAAATAAAAAAAGCTGTTGCTGCTTCAAAATTACAGGCCTTGTAAACCGTGAAGTTGTGATGTTGAAGGCAATCTCTTCTTCTCGATAGTTGGACGGGCAGAGCACTTCAGGCCAAGTGTGAGAACCAATCTGACTGGCGATTGGGTTATGGTTTTGGCTAGTGTTGATGTCGGTCGGTCTCACGGATATACAAATCGTCTCGATATCGATTGACTTCAACGACCTGGGTTCTCAACTATCCAATACGGGTTAAATGTTGGAAATGAGAACAGGACTAAGACTCACTCGACTAGGTGATACTTCAGATCCCGTTCTAGGTTTATTCGAGCAGAGCTGGAGATCAATGCACATATTGGCCAAAGTAACATAAAAATATCAAACTTGATTTTATAAGATGATTAATTGACAATCGCCTTACTTCTATCTACCTCAGCCCAGATGTTGGTGGTATTCAACTGGCCGATGTAAGGTATCTAAGATGGGAGGGCTCGCTCGCCAATAAGGCAAATACCCCAGGGCTCCCGTCGGCTAAAACCCGGACCGCCTGCCCTTCCGCTAAGGTAGCGCTAAGGCACCTTGACCACCTGCGCGTCGGGGGTAGGTACCTCACTCGAGCTGCCTTACCTTACAGCTCAAGTATTATTCTGCGGCTCAACTCGAGCTTGGAGCGACAATCCTGTCTTCAACTCCCACTTTTATTTGCGGCACTACCACTACTTTGAACAGCTACAGAACTTGGAGACGAAGCATTGGCATCGAATATTCAAATTGATGGCCGCAAGGGCGCAGACATAGTATCACGGCGCGACGCTGCCCTTCCACGGCTCTTACCTTCAATCACGATCGAAATCGACCGACCGACCGACCGAATCACAACATGGCTACTCCGACGCAGATGAAGCATGCGGCTTCCCAGCAGGGCAGAACCCCTTCGCAGCTTACAGCAGCGACTCCGCCGGTGTCGACGCCATTTTCAGCATCGCAAGCGCACACAGCCTTTTCGCCGAGAGGACCTAAGTCGTCGCCTCAGCAGTTTAAGAAATCGCCAGCGACCTCGACCACCTTGATGGGCCACCCAGCTAATGGTGCTCTCAACTTCGATAGCCCTTCCGCAGCAGCTGCGATGGGCGCGCTTGGGATCAGTGGTGGACTGGACATGGGACTAGATCATGCCGGGATCGCGGGCTTCGGTGGTCTGGGAGCATTGGGTAGTGAGGACGACAAGCTCAAGAGGTTTGATACCGTCATTGATATTCTCAGCGTAAGTCATGGCTGTTTGTTTCTCATGGTCGCAATGGAAATTAATGATGTCCTTGTAGAAGGCAACAGGCCGAGTCAGCGAAGCAGGCCTCGAACGACTTACGCTCCGAACTGGTCTTACTAGCATGTGGGATGAGCATCGGTCGCCCGACGGCAGGAAGACAAAAATGCTCGTCATCGCCGGACAAGCATTGACCATCGATATCGAGCTGAACAACAATATCGTGGAGAATGTCTCGCTGGGCTTTCCAGAATCAGGGCCAGTTGTCACAAGACATAAGGATCAGGCCGGCAACATCCTGCTCAAGGATCTGCAACTTCGCCCTGACCAGAGTCCGTTAACCAAGACTTTGAAAGCGTTCTCTGCCAATCTTGAACGTCTGGCGACTCTCGACAAGCTGAGCGTCATTCCGGGAGTTGACTGCCAAGAGGCTCTAGCTGGCATCTTTGAGAGTCTCGAAAGACTCCACAAGTGGGAAATGTCGAAGCTGCGGGAAGACCCTGCCATGAGCGGCAAGCCCGAACGTTTCCTCGAGACGACTGCCATGTGCACCAAGAGCGGTCGTCCGAGGATGCATTCGAGGGGTATGGTGGGACTAAGCATCGAGTATTGGACGGAGAGGCGCCATGTCATCCCCAAAGCACCAGAGACGACACGCTACTGCGAGAACATGGAGAAGGCCTGGTCGATTCTCATAGGCTGCAAGGCGTTGGATGGTGAAATGTTCCCTCCCGTCCGAGTGTCTGAGAATTGGATTTCCCAAAAGGTTGAGAAGACCGAGCCTGGACCCGAGGATCTTCTCGTTGCAGCTTCTGGGCCGGCTCTAGACTGGCTGGAACCGGAGCCTACGACGCTGCCACAGACGGACGACAATAAGGATTCGGGCATCGACGTGGTGCAGGCGGATGGCACGACGCACAAATACCCGAACGTCAAGTTTGTCGCGACACTCACCCCCTCAGTCATCGTGCCGCAGTCGGTATGGAACACACTACACACCCTCACAGGAGCTCAGGCTCAGCCCATGCCTCTGCCGACCTACACGTTTGATAGCATATCTTTCCCGATACCCGAAGGAAGTCACCATGATGCAAGCGAGCTCAGAGTCATCTCTTGCAAGAGGAGAGTTCCGATGCCGAGCAATGAGAGCACCGTCTCATCCCGGAAACACAAGAACACGCTCCTTATCTACAAACCAGTGTATGGACAAACAGTCACCGAGCTATCGTTCTCGCACCCACGGCAGCTGATAGCAATGCTACCCATCCTCCGCCAGTATGCGCTGATCTCGACGCTATTGGAGAGAAGCTTCGGATCTGATATTTCTGGCGAGGCTTTACCCGAGGTTCATGAAAACATCACAATGAGTGATACGACAACAACGCAGGCCGAATACGAGAGATTCATGTCCAAGAGCTATGACGAGAACGAGCAGGAGCTTACTCTGGACGTGGTGCTGACGGTCCATCCCTCTGCTGGTTTGCACATCGTCTTTCCCTTCCGCAACGCAACCGCCAACGTGGACCTGCAAATCCAGCAGAACGGAGTGGTACATGTCGTGTCACAAAACATCGTGCCGGCCGACGGTAGTGATGCGGCGAAGGCTGGCAAGGGGAAGGGCAAGCAGTTTACCCCGCAGGACTTGGGCAGGTTGCTCGAGGTGATGGAGGACCTCTGCTCCTGGGCAGAATGGATCCGAAAGAACCTGTCGTAAGCGTTGCTCTGCCGAGATGGACGATCGATCGATCGACCTCTTTGAACACAAAAGAACCATGGCCAATAGAAGCATATGACGTCTAGATCGGGTTTTGGGTTGTTGTTTTTGTTCTGTATAATTGATACCCAGGCGGGATCAACGGGGTCTACCAAGTGAACCCCTCTCCCGTCTTTTCTCGAGACAAGGAACGGGGAAAGCGAGCTTTAGGTATCTCCTATGGATACGAACCTACGAAGCTTCTGGAAAAGGCAAGGCTAGAGGTGAGGGGAACAGATGAGCGATGCAAGCTGCATGATGATTTGGGGTTGGTTCAGTTCCGAGGCGTTGGGTCTTGGGTTTCTTTGGGTTTGACGGGCGGGGGGTGGTTTGGGTTGGCCTTTCACCCACTTGGTTTAGGCAGAGAAAGATACCTACTAGGTTGTCTGTAGTGTGAGCCCGAACAAAGGAGACACTTGAAGTAAACAGGAACCAATTTGAGGGCGGTTAATGCCCCCCCAGTTGCCTTCCAAGCTTCACATTCTCTTACACGAAAACAACTGCATGAAGAAGAGGTCTGAAAGAAGACAAGTGTGAGAATGACGTTTTTGTTTTATTCATCCTTTTTGCTAGTCTTGGGTATTTTCGGCACATTTTGAGAAAAGTCAAGTTTCCCGGCCGCCCGGCGGGAAGACCATACTTTAGCTTGCCCTGGCTGCGTGGCTGCACGGCTGAGTGATGCGGTCTTGGTTGTTGATGTTGATCTGTTGATGTGATCGACGGGTCTTGCTGCCTGACTGAGAACCCGTCCTGCCGTGACGTTATGTTTTCTACGCTAGTGCCCGTGGCGTGCCGGACGGTACGGGATACATTGGACACAACGCTTGGAAGCCCTCTTTTTCCATTTCAGGGCCACTTTGTTCCCCAGGCCCTTTTGCCCCCCCCCCCCCCCTCCAGTGGACTTACATGTTGGTTTTTTGGGCATCCTTAAGTGTGGGGCGATGATGATGGGTTGGATGCCAGCGGGTGAATATAGTTCGGATCGTCGATGCCTCATACCATGGTAAACTTTGGCAAAGAGACCCTGCAAGACCCTGAGAGACCCTTGATGTTTTGGATGCAAGATTGGTTTCTTGAGTTTTTTTGTTTTTCGGGGTCTTCCTAGGTCGCAGTGAGACGGGCCTAGTGCGGGATGGACGAATGGATGGGCCAGGGCCTCGAAGGGAGTTTTGAGTCAATTTCAATATATCGGACTCGAGACTTGGGAGAGGAAGGGGGTTCACGAGGTTGAGGTCTGGCATTATTGAAGAAAACAGGGCAGTAAAGGTAAAATCAGGGACGAAAGAGCCGGGAAACCGCGGGGGAACCGGAGGGAAGGGGCGGGCTGGAAGAGTCGATGCGT